TTGCCGCGTTCATTGCCGATAAAAATATTCCCCACCAAAATGCGAAAGAAATTCTTAGTTTTTTCCGACATGTAGGAGAAGATCCTAACGTGTTGAAAGCCATGAGTATGGGTCGTACGAAATGTAAAAACATTATTACAAATGTTTTGTGCCCAATCGAAACGGAACGTGTGGTCAATAAAATTCAGAACACAAAGTTTACGATATTCATCAATGAAACGTCTGACAATGAGAAATGGATGACTTTTCTCGTTCGTTATGTTGATCCGGATACATTAGACATTCGATCACAACTAGTTAAACTAATTGACATTGATGTCAAAGATTCCAATGCGGAAAAATTGTTCCTTGCATTTAAATGCGAAATGTGGAAGTTACAGATATTGTTTTTAAATATTGTCGCCTTATCGTGTGACAGTGCGTCTACCATGACAGGGAAACATTTATTATTCAAAGAGAAATTAGAAGAAGAATGCCCACATTTGTTAACATTTTCCTGTCCCTGTTATGCTACCATGTTAGCAACTCATGCTGCATGCAATGAAATACCCATAGCTTGCGAGGAATTTGTTACAAGAATTGGCGATTATATTAACTGTAGTCCAAAATGTTCATCTGTTTTTTCTGAATTTTGTGAATATTTCCAAGAAAATAATAATAGACTATCACGATTAAATGATACACGTTGGCGTTCTCACTTCTTATGTATAAAAAAACTTTTGGAATCTTGGGACACAATTAAACATTTTCTTAATCAAATATCTGTGAACGAGAAAACAAGAGCTGAAGAATGTCTGTTGTCTATGATGGATAATATAGAGTTAAAAGCTTATTTTATATTCTTAGAGTACATATTAAATTTCTTCAATAAATTCAATACGTTTTTTCAAGCATTAGATACGCGAATACATATTTTGCAGCCCAAATCTTTGAACTTTCTTCTTCAAATCTGCCAAAATTTTTTAAAAGAAAAGCATTTAAAACCTTTCTCTAAAAATGTAGTATTTTCTTTACAGGAGAATCAAAAAGATCTGCATCAAATTACATTGGGATTAGAATGTGAAAAATATCTTCAGAAATTAATGGAGCATGGGCACAAAGACGAAGTGGAAACAATTCGAAAGAACTGCTTAAAGTTTTATGTAACTGCTGCAGAAAACATTCGTAAGACGTTGCCTGTGGACAATGTGTTTTTATCGAAATTACAAGTTTTTAAACCTTCCTTACATTTATTCGATAATGATAGAGAAACATCATTCGCCGATGTTTCTTTTGTAGCTCAAACTATTGGCGGTTTCGACGAAGACAGTTTAAAAAAGGAATGGGTTGCACTGTCATCAGATTTTACAACAAACGAGAAACAAAGTCTCTCTAAATTAAATTTCGATAATATGTGGAAAAAAATTTTACGATCTTCTTATCCAAATAATATGGCCAAATATCCAAATCTAATAAACATTCTAAATGCTATTCGATCACTTCCCAATTCAAACAGCGATCCGAAGACAATGGTTTCCATCGTGTATGATTTAACTTCGAAAAAACGCAACAAACTTTCGGCGGCTTCAGTTAATGCCATTTGCGTTTTTAAATCTGCATTGAAAGCAAGAGGAGAAACATCAATGAATATGACGATAGAAGAAAAACATTTATCACTTATGTCGTCAGACAAATTATATGCTAGTGCTACTAAAGAGACTACATTATGTGAGACTGTATTATAAATGACTACTGGTGTGCTTTCTAAGCGACGCAAACGACAATGTAATACAATAAATCATTATGTCCTTATCGTTTGTCAATGTTAAACAAAGATGAAATGATCATATGTCACACTGTATCGCTTGCTGGAAAGCATGCATAATTATTATCGTTGTAACTAGTATATATTAAGGAAATGTTTGGTACAAGCGCGTGAAATATATAACAAATGATATTAGATCATATGTGAATAACACAATTAATTACGAAATTTACACGCTCTCAAGACATAGTTATAACTTCGCGTTATAACGGATCATCGTTATGCTGAGTTAAACGACTAAATTCTTGTTTGGATATCCAGCTACAACAGACGCTAATGAAGTTCTTAATTTCGGACAACAGCCTAACGATAATTCACTGACAGCATTCGCCTATTGTTTTACAACGTATCAATTTGATTCCGATAATTTTATTGTTACACTGAAGAAGATCTAATTTTATGATCGAATGTTTTACAACGTGTCAATTTGATTGACGATAATTTTATTGTTACACTGAAGAGGACCTAATCTTATATCTGTAATTGGTGATTGACACATAATATTATTTTTGATTACACACGAACAACTATTGTCGGCTCTCAATGGCTTTATATTCCTTTATTGATTTAATTTTTGGAGCCTTTTTCAATTTCAATTGTTAATTTTTAATAATATTGTTAAACATTGAGCTCTAGTTAGGCCGAATGGGCGAATAAGACATTTTTCTACTTAATTGTGTTATTCATATATCGGTCTATTGTTTATTCTTTTATACAGTTATTATTATTACTTATGTTAAGTGTTAGATTATTAAAATGTCAATAAATATAAATATGCTTGTAGAATATGAATTTGTAAAAGTTATATGCGATAGATTAGTGAAGAATTTTTTTATGAAATAAATTCTTTGCTCTTATGATACGAATACGTGATGTATATATGTGATCTAAGTTATATTAGGAAAGTAACGCGTTACTTTGTAATATAATTATTGTTTTCGTTACTTTTTTTCGATGATATTAATTTTTTTCTATTTGTAGCGGTAACGATGTTATGTTTTTATAGTAATTTTTACAGCAATTAATTCAGCCGTTAATTTTATCGTTACTGTAATACTTTATTATCTTTGTAATTATTTAATAGATCGTACTAATTTTAATTGACTAGAAATATTTTCTAATAGAAATGTTAATATTAAAAAATAAAAATGTTTTGTACTTCATGTCTTAGATTGTATTGTGATAATCACTCCAATGTGCCAATACTGAAAATCTATATTTCTCTCTTAACAACATTAATATTTAAAAATAATATTTAGTAAAAATTTTTAATAAAATCTGCATTTGTATAAATTAATCTGCATTTGTGTTATGGGTTATTTATGTCCTGCGCATTTCTTTTCTTTGAAATACTAAGAGCACCTGATCAAATACCAGTCTCTTTTCTATTCTTAAAAAAATGTTTGGCATTTGGAAAATGGAGTTTAGTGCGTTGCTGATCTCAATTCATATGTATGAATTAATTAGAATAACTCCGAAGTTCACTTCTGGGTCACAAATGACTTATCGTGTGTGCAGAGTGTACATTTTTTGTAACTACAAAATTTTTTTATTTTTTTCTTTATCTTTAGCTAATTCTCGTTTGTATTGCAGGAATATTTTGCAACTTACTAAAAAAGAATTTAACCCTAAAACAATATATTAACCCTTAATAAACATTTTTGGCACCCTTATTGTGTTAAATGTCTCTAATATTATTATGTAATATTATTATGTTGTTTGTAATATTATAAAAAACATTTTTCTAATATTGTACATTATAAGTTTTTTTTTAATACAATAGCAATAATAAAATGCATTGCTTAAAATGTAAATGCAATATATTTTTAATTTATAGCTATTTATTCATATTAAAAAAATATTATTTTTAAGTTAATAACTAAATTTTTTGGACAGCCGATAATTCAACTATTTTTTCTTTTATAATTTGGAATGTTAACTTTAAGATATGGAAACATATTTTTCCTTTAAATATTTTTGTTTCAGAGTTTTATATTTTTGTATGAAAAAGTGCATTTTTCTCATTTGTTAATATTTAATTGTAACAATTTATTATAAATATACAATTTTACAAGTTCTTTCTAAAAATGTCAAAATATAGATTAAAAAATCGCTTAATAATTTTTACGCACTTGTAAAAATGAGAATTAATTCTGAACACGAAAGATCCGTATGTAAGATGCCAAAAATTAAGATATAAGAGTTAAAATATATACATTAATACATGTCTGTAAGATCGAATTTATTCCAAGAACGACAAAAAATTTCAAAATTGAAATTTAAGAAAAATTTTTTATCGTTTTCAGCATAAACTCCACTTCACAGATACGTATATTAATGCATATATATGAATCTTGGATAATTTAATCCTGGATAAGGATTTTCAAATCTGTAAAAGAGGACAAAAAATATACAAAAATTATGATTTAATCGATAATACAGATGGCTTTATGCATATATCAGACTGGAGATTGATGATTACGATTTGTAAAGATAAACAACAGTATAAGCAAAATATAAAATATTGTAACTTGTTAGGAAATGTTAGAAAATTTTTTACATGTACGTACTTATTTATATTTTACAAAACTCGCAAAATGCTGAACAAAATTGGCGAGAAACCGGCGTGATCATTAATCGTGGTAAACAACAATACGCTATATTATAAGAATGATTTAAAAAAAAAGAAAAAAATTTGTGAACATTCTCACAATCATTCGACACACTTAAAACGTCGTTAATAAATTCATTACGCATTGATTACAACACTATTGTGGGCATGAGATTGATTTCTTTTAACAAGTTCTAAATTAATTTCGGTTACCTTTGCAAGATCACAATATTTCTCACACTCTCTGAAATTGACAAAAGAATTTCGCGTGAATTATTACAATGTGCGAGATAATTTGAACGACTGAATGCAATCAGATAATTTATCACTTACACGAAATACTAAGTTGTGATCAGGAATTGCTCTTAGATAACTCTAGGCTATAGTTCACTTTACGTAAATTAAAAGCAAAAGTGCACTAGAATTATCTGGGCGTAACTCTTGAACGCATTCCTAAAAGCGTAATACAATTGATTCAATAAGAAAAAGAATTGTCGGAATATTTCATCAAAATATGTAATTATTAGATCATTTAAAAAGTATCCGCGGTTTTTTGTTCAATTTTTGAATGAAAAAATCGCGGATACTTTTTAAATAACCCAATATAAAATATATGACGAGTTTTATGCAGCAACAAACATATCGATGATTTCCATTTCTCGTTGCATTATCTCTTGGAGAAAAACTTCAAATACCATACGCTATCTCAGCGTGTAGGCGTCTCCCTCTCATATACTTTTGCACACCCAATGATTATACATAATGTATATGGGGACGCTGATTCCGAATGGCAATTTTCGGTAAGGAGATTTCCTGGTATACTACTCAGTGGTTTGCTACTGCCTTTTGAGAGGAGCTACGAGTGGGTACGAAAATTTTTCTGTCGGGAATCGAACTCGGGATCTCTTATAGTATATTAAATCAGTGCACTGTCTACTACACCACGCTCGCGTTTTTGAGGTAAACAGACGGAATTAATTTTTGAAGCAGCCAGCTTTGCTCGCTTTAATTATAAATGTTTTCATCAAATTCTGGTCTAGCTTGGCGAAATTTTCCGTTTCCACCACAGTTGTCATGTGACCAACGGCGAGCTGGACGCAGAATTCTTCCAGCTCCTAAAAAATTGTCAACGGCATTCAATTATTGCACACATGTAGATTCATAATATTCGCAATGAAATGTTAATAAACGTTAAAAGTGACAACATTTGATTACCTTTATGTTATACTTCACTGCAATACTATAAAAGTAGGCGACGTCCGATACAGTAATTCCTTGCTTTATTATACGAATGCACTGCTTCTTGAGATTGTTCTCAAAGTAAGCGTTGGCCAAATCAAAAAGTTCTGTTAACAAAAAATATTGCTTCAATTATTTGGCGCATTCAGCGGATTCAACAGTTGAGTGAGTGTTCGTTGCTATTGGTGTATTTTTTCAGATCTGAAAATCTGATTGGATGATCTAGAAAAATATACCAATATCAACGAGTGCTCACTCAAATGTTTAGTCCACCGAATACGATGAATATTTAGGTCAATGTAACCGCTCATGGTAGACTCGACTTACCTGATATATTCTTAAAGGGTAAATCGACTATATTGGTGTATAAATACTTCAGGTATGCTTTGTAGACAATGTAGGAAAATGTATTAATCTTGACGACACTGAAAGAGAATGACGACAGCATGAGCAAAAACTTGAGAAATTTAACATAAATAACATTTGTAAAACAATTACCTTTGATTGTTTTCGGTCCAATCATGCTCAAACATGTTTCTGAAGTGTAAAGAACGAATTTTCAAGAAAGCCTTGTGTACATGGATATATTTGCCCTCCACCTGTATTTTGAGATCGCTCGTCGACTATGCCACAAATGAGAGAAAAAGTCATTAGTGACAAATATATGTCGAATTTTAGCTTGGTGCATAACTAATTGTTACATTTATCTGAACAATCTGAAAAATCTGGAACAAACTCTGTTACCAGTTCTATCAATTAAAGTACTTGTTAAAGTATATATATATATTTTTTTTTCATCTAAAAAGAAATTTCTAGAAATTTTTAAAAAATTTCAGTTAATAACATTATACTTAAAATAAGGTGACGGACAAATTTTACGAAAAATTACATAGACAAGATCTTAGAAATTCTTAGTTTCTCATAGATATTCGTAGTGGAATATAAAGTGGCGTTATTTGTTTCAAAACCAAGAAATCCTTCGCCTTCAAACTTCACTAAGAATATCTACGAAAAAATTAAGAATTTCTAAGTCAAACTTTACTCTACATCTTACTATTAAATAAAAATTAAGAATTTCTAAAATATTGTCTCAATATTCTTTTTCGTAAACATTTTTTCCGCCAGGGATATTAATAAAAAACAATAAAATCTTAACTATGATAAGAGTAGAAATATTATTATATAAATATAATATTCAAACAGTTATAATAAACATGAAGAGATAGATGTTAAAGAGAATATGCTATCAATTTTTGAGAAGATATTAAACAAAATCTACAATCTATAATATCTGACGATATTGGTAAACTGCTTCCAGAAATAAGACAAAGCCTGCTGATATGTTTTGCCAGTATATTGACAGCAAGAATTTTTGCAGCTCCAATGTACGATTTCTATCGTCAGTTGATTGATGAACCCAGATCTTAATCGATTTTTGTTACTAATCTATTGATATAGTATATCAGTAGTTTCTATCGAGTCTTAATATGGAACGACATAGATAAATATGGATCTGCAATAGGAATATAATCAAATTTGTTTACAATCTATCAGCAAACTATTAGTATTTTACTATATGGATACACGTAACAACTATGCATAACTACGGATATACTATTAGTAATTGTAACTATTAGTAAAAAACTTATTCTTTTTAGTTGAACTTCTTGCATTGTTCATCTCTTCTCTTCTTTTTCTTTAACATGAAGAGAAAAAGAGGAAAGTTGAACTACAAAAAGTTCAATCAAAAACAACAGACCTTAGAGCTATTTATTTCAGTTGCATTTTTTCCCTCTCAATATCGTTCATTTGTTTTATAATACATTTCGAAAATGTGAAACAAAGATAATAATAAAGACACATACAGAATTGTCGAATGCAATTCTTAAGCATTCCAATATGTTCGGCTCTTCATCCAGAATCATTGATTTTTGCATAACGTTTGGTCCGTAATGTACAAGCATGTCAGATATGTTGGAGGATGAAGCGATGGTTGGGGTCACGATACTCTTACCGTGACAATCTACACCCCAAATGTAGACACGTCCTGCTTCAGTGACAGCGATGCTACTGTTATTCAGAGCTGTGATATCGATCCATCTCATCTTTTCAATTTGCTTGACCTGATAATATAATTACTGATCATGATTATCTTTGCTTTTTCTCTTCTTTTTTGTTCTGCTTCCTTCAAAATAACGATAAACATAAGTTTACCATAATTGGTTTACAGCACTCCGTCTGGTTGCCAATCCCCAACTGGCCGGACATGTTTCCGCCCCAGGCATAGATGTTTCCTTTGTCTGTGAGCGCCAGCGTGTGTTCGAATCCACAAGTCACCTTGACTGAAATAATCTGCTCAATGATCCTGTTTTACTTTGTCACCTTGTTCTTTATTTACTGCTTTATCGAAAAGAGAATTACCTACAATAAGGTCTTCCCCCATATCAATCAACTGCGGCATCATATTTTTATTTTCGAATCTGCAGCCTCTCCTCATGTAACCACTGATAAAAATATTTCTCATAAAATCTTTCATAATTTCTCATAATTTCTCCTAATTGTGAGAAATTATGTGAATTATGAGACATTTCTCAGATTTTAGAATATTTTCTCAAATTTTTTCCCAACAGTTAATAAAATATTATAATTTCTCATAACGATCGCTCTCTTACAAATATTCATAAATATTTATAATATGCAGGAAATGTTTTGTTATTATTTGTAAAATTTCTCTTTTCATATGATGTATATTTTCATATTTTCTTATACAAAGTACTTCATTTTTCGTATTTTATAATATCATACATGTAAAAACAATTTTTTTAATAACTTCTTCTTTATAATTTTTCAGAAATCACAAAAAATCTTTAAAAAATGTCATTTAATTATAGATTATGCGCTTCCTCATATTCATAAATACTCATAAAATACAATCTGATTTTAGGAGTATTTATGAGTATGAGAAAGCGCAATCTATTAAATATGACATTTTTTTGAGATATTTTGGGATTTTTGAAAAATTATGAAAAATTATGAGAAAAAATCTCAGATATGTGAGAATTAAAGTATTTTGTATGAGAAAATATAAAAACATATGACGTATTTGAAAGGAGAAAATCTTATAAATATGACAAAATATATAGAAAAAGTCATATTTTCTTATTGCATTTTATAAGTATTTATGAGTATTTATGAGAAAACGATCATTCTATAAAATAAATATGATGTGTTATGTAAAAAAATGTGAAAAATTATAAAGAAAAATTATGAGAAATTATATGAGACAAATTTTTACCAGTGACGTCTAACGTGTAATAAGTTATTGTCATTAATGTTGTTTGTTTCTATACTAAGAGTCTGCTGCGTCGCATTTTTATTCCCATGGTTGCCTATCCCTAGCTGGCCAACGTTATTTCTGCCCCAACCATACACCTTACCATTTCTGGTAACAGCTATAGTAAAGTCATTACCGCAGGAGATACAAACAACATTAGACAAAACAAGCTTAGGTGTCGTCGAAAGTCCATAGATACTGTTATTCATTTGTCCACTATTATTTGATCCCCAAGCATACACCTTAATTAAACCAGCTATTTAGTTTATAAGATAACAGAAGGTTATCATACAATGATGTTTACTTACTTCATCATTTTCAGTTAGAATGATGGAATGGTAACAGCCACACGCGATGTCCACGACGCGCATCATGTTCTGGTTGTTTTTAATCGTAGACATTTTCATTAAAGTAAATTTACATATTCCATTCTCCAATTGACAATCAACATTGTCACAGGAATATACCTTTCGCAGACATTACTATTATTGATTTTAACATGTCATAAATGTGTTGCTTAATTTGGCGATTTCATAAATCTTTTGATAATTTTTTACAATTGCTAGATGCACGAATAAAAAATGATAAAATGGAGAAATTCAAATATCAACTTTTCGTACATAAACATCTCCTCCCCATAGCAAAATCTTCACAGTCACAATAGACTCACAAGACTCACAAGCGATATCACTATACTCTATGATCCGTCCATAGTGGTTCACGGAGAGAATAACTACACTTTATACAGTTTGTGTTCACATGGGCATAAGACGAGGAACTCGAGCACAATGCACCCTTTTTGAGTTCGTGTCTGCTTCTATTAGTGATGTGGAAGAGATAAAATAGACGATCAGTCTATAAAATGGAGAATTCGTTGGAAAAATTTTTTGCGATAACAAATTTTTTCGCCATATTGGATCTTCCATTTTGAATTTTGAAAATTTGACTTCAGATTCGGATTTAGTCGGATTTGGTCTTAAAAACCTTACTACTAAAATCATTACACAGTTCTTAAAACTTTTTCTTCAAAGACATTTTTGGCACAAAACGTTTTTCTTTGTGTGACTACGCAGAGATTATCTCGGTAAAAAAAAAAAACATACGGCGTTAAAAAAAATATAAATTAAAGATAGAAGTTGGCATTTTAAGATGGCGTAAACGAAAGTAGAAAAAAAATTTACTTCACTAGCAACAAAATCACAAATATGTCAAAAAACGTCAATTTTGACACCTTTAACTTCACTTTTCTCAAAAACCTCACGATAGAGCAATTTCATTGCCGAATTCATGTTCAGCGCGCGAAAATACATATCGAAAATGATATCTTTTATTCAAACAGCAGAAAAAAGACTTAAAACGTCAGTCTGTGTTATCAAAAGGTCACAGTAACATTGCGTTGTTACTTTAATCTATGTATATCATAGTGATATCATAGTGATATCACCTGTGATAAAGCAGACATTCATACATTGATACGTTTTGATGATATCTTTTTCTATGGGGAAGACATTAACTATTCTATCTACATCTATTTTACAAGATTATCAGAATGAAATTTAATATTTAATAAATTCGTATTATATTTAATGAAAATTACATATTAGTTCAAAGAGAATGAATCAGAATGCATTTATTCCAGTGAGATATATTACAAAGATATCAATTAAAAATTCATTCCAATGTACAACTTCTTACCTCTAACAAATTCTTACCTCTCCTCCATTCGTGAGTGCCAAAATGTGAGGTCCCATGCCATACGCAAACGTCTTTATATCTTTTCCGCGCAAGTCCTCAATCTCCTTCAGATATGGCGTTGAAATTTTGTTTCCGGTCTCCAAACAATTGTAGAGATCCAAAACATATACCATCTTGTCCCTGGTCACAATTAAGGCCCTTTTATGCAATTTACCTGTTTTGTGACATTAGATATAAAATAATATTGCTGAGAGAATACACAAGAGAAGAAAACAAAGCAAATTACCAAATATCATAACCATGTGAATCTGGGAAATGAATTCCGGCTCCAATGAACTGAAGACCGGCCAACTACGTAGGTCCGAACACATGTCGCTTCACAGGATCACTTATTTCGCGAATGCTTTCGTATCTCTTTATTTCTCGTTTCAAGCCGACGATCTCTCATATATGTCTGCAATTATCAGTGAAATAATGTGCTATAATCAGTGGGAAGTGATAAGTCAACAAATCCGATAACTGAACAAATCCAAATCGAAAGAAAATTAGTACAAAGAATCTTCATGTAAAATACCAGTGGGTAATAATATCATTTAATGCAGTCGTGGGATAGATTCTTCGAAATCATTATAAAATTCACATGAAACTTCTATAGTTTTGTATATCACCAATAGAAATTTAGCATAAATTTCAGATTAATAACGATTTTATTTTTATCGTTAATATATGATTGATTATTATTCGTTAAATAAACGATAAAAATAGATGAATGCCAATTCGTTATTTTTTTATTATTATTTTACTATTCTTGTAGATACAATAGATTGAATACGATAAAAAGAGTTTCTATCGTTAGTTTCCAACAGAATATCTAAAAAAAATCTATAGGAACCGATAAAATACGATAAGATTTATATCTGATGCTTGAAAGATCAACAATATCTTATAGAAAATGATACAAATTGATAGGAATTATTTACTCTTAATCATTCTCTATCAACTTTTTTTACCAGGGTTTCGAGCAAGAACATAGTGACTAATTTAAGTTTTTACCAAGAGTTTGAACTAGACATGTCAATATCGAGCAAAATATCGACTATGAATGTATTCAGATATTTTAAACTATGTATAATCATTCCAAATGAATAGACATTATATTGAATATATCGCACAGCGAATAGATTCCAAAAAATAAATTTCCAATTTTTTTAGAGCTTACGAACGAAGATCTATGATATTTGATATAAATATTTTGAGAATAAAAATAAAAAATAATAGTAAAATTAACTTCATGTTTTATGTTTACATTAATAAATTATATTATAATTATAAGAATAATTATACATTATACTTATCTATACATTACAAGGAGCATTATATTGTGCACATACCTTCAATATATTAAATATTTTATCAAAGTTATCAACTTCAACTTAAGTCATCACGTATCATTAAAAGCCATGTAAGTAAAAAAGCATCCATTAAGCACGTTAATATAAAGACAAAATGTTGCTAGTATAGTTACATTTACAATCATTTGTGCCTTGTAATAATAGGGTAAAAGCATTAAATGCAGATCAGGCTAGTTTCACACATTATATTTAAATAATTATAGTATTTTCTATACATCAAATAATGCATATCACAAAATTCTTTAGCATTTGTTTTATTTTTTACAAGTGTAAATTGTTTTTTTATTTATTAACAATAGCGCTGCACATTCTATTAATGTCGTTAACTAATAAAACATGAGTCATAAACCAGTATATACATATATATATATTATACTTATAAAAATTTACTCAAAGTATAATATCATAAGAATTGCCTTTGAAGAATTGGCTTTATTAAAGAATTGGCTTTTACAGGAGGTAGTAAATAGCATTAGATTTCATGAAAAAAGTCAATATAATTGTAGGAAGAGTATATGTATGTTTCGTTTATAAATTTTTATTTTGTTGCGCGTTTCCGACTATGACGATATGCGCTAGAGTATCAGCGCGCTTGCGCAAGAAGGAAAAGGTAAAGGAAGAGTAGAGTAAGAGCAGAGTTGTAAGATGGAGCATGTATGGGACGGCGAAGCGTGAAGTGCGATTTGTGATTCTCTCCTGAACTGTTGTCCATAAATATTGGCTCACTAAACATTCCATCATCGGAATCATCTTATTTCCTACATAATGCTCAATTGGAATTAAATTAAAAAAGGATAAAGCATTTGATGAACTGATCCGCAATTAGTATATGGGATCTAATTGTAGATACTTATTATTACTTAATTTAATTAAAATTAAAATATATAAAGCGGTACTGAAATGGATAAAATCATCCATAATGTAATCTTTATGATCAATTATAACTGTTAAATATTTTATTAATTGTATGATATCGTTCTAGATAAAAATATAAATTTTTTGTCTCAAGAGTGAATCATAAGTGGTCTTATTCTATGTACCTATAATTAAAAATTCCGCGAAAAGGAAGACAATCTAATCTAATCTAGATTATCTAGATGTGTCTATTTCGTTGTTCAATATTTGCTGGTTAAACGGCATATATATATATATATATATATTAGGTGTTGGAATTAATTCGTAGCGTTTTTAATGAAAGAATGTTATTTATTTCACATGAGCATTAAAAAATACATTAATGAAAGTACTTCCCATCACTTGTAAAACGCTACGAATTAATTCCAACACCTAATATGTTATTCCCCAGTGTACATATCTTACCGTGTAATTCTCACGAAGTTGCTACAGTAACTGCAAAAGTTATTTCTGAAATTCTTATAAAAAGTATTATAACGTGTTGGTGTCTCGTGCAGCAAGAACTAATTCAGTTAAAATATTAGCTGATGACTCGGAAACTATGGCAGAGACTCTATAAAGAACACTGATGCCATTATTGATCAGTGGATCGTTTTGCAATTTGGACACGTTCGAATATCTTCGTGGACAACCTAGCTTTTAATCAAATGGGGCTCTCTTACGTACTTCTTTTACTATCCAACATAATCTCTCAATTGCAAAATGGAAATATATACACCGGAAGTATCATACCGTTAGCCATTATATTAATTCTCATTAGCTTCTGTCGTTTTAAGGTAAAAATTTTAAAATATATTTCCGGTTTCTTATATAATAATAATTGATCTTTTAATATATCTTTTGTTTAATAGTATTTTTAACTGAAAGCATTAAAAGATTCTTAAATTCATAATTATAGGCAAATACAAAATTATAAAAAGTTTTTATAAAAGGCTTTCGATATTTTCAACCGTGACCTACTTTTAGTCAAACTCAAGCTATGCAGTCTATTCTCAAGCAGAATAACAAATCATTATGATATCAAAATGATATCAAAATGACTCCAAAATAATCATTAAAAGTCATTTTTCAATCATTTTCGATTCATTTTAATGTTATTTTGACGTTATCATGACTTGCTGTTCTGCTTGGATCCCGTTCGGCTTTCTCGCTAATCCGTTCCTTACAAATCACACGCAGCAAGTTCTCATATATAATTTTTTTCCTCTTTTCTTCTCTTCTCATGCCGTTCTCTCTTGAGTTCCAGGGTTCCATTCTCGGATCTTTATTTTTTAATATTTTTGTCTCTGATTTGCCTAATGTTTCTCCTCCGAGCTCATGTATGCGTAATTCTTCTCAAATCCTTTCACCCATTCGATACTTTAGCAGCCTGTTCTTGTTTAAATAAAGATCTGAAATTTATTATCGAATGCTTTACTAATAATTTGCATCTAAATCCCTCTAAATTATCCTTGCTAATTATTCTTTAGCTCTCCCTGCTGGTTCCTCAATATTATTATCCTTCGATATTTCTTTTAATTCCGTTCCAATTCCTCGCTCCTCCTTTATTAAGATTTTTGATGTCCATGTTGACTCTTTATGGACATTCGAGTCACACATAACTGTCCAGTGTCGGATTGTTTACGCCCGACTGTCTTTTTTATTCTTTTTGCCACATTCTTTTCTACTTTCAAAAACTTCTCAATTACCCGTTATTTTGTTATTTGATTACGCTGATGTCATTTACGTTCCAGCCTTTAATCAACAACTTCTAAATCGTGCAGCATATCCAAAATTTTTGCCTTTGCTTCTCCTATTGCGTCCGTAAATAATATATCTCCGTATTATCAGAGATCTGGCTGGCTTAAGATGTGGCAATGTTTTATTCTTCACTTGTGCTGTCGCGTTTTTTTTCGCTCCAATATTCTTCTATATCTACGACACGATGTTTCCATTAGTTAAACTCTGAGCTTCATTCCATTTTAAACCCCCTTATCACCAGATATCAAAATTATTTATCCTTTCCCATTTATTGTTCCATTAATTGTAAGTTTCGCTTTCTCCTACACCTCTCTGATAAAAATAAAATATAAACCATATAAAGTAACCGAGTATAAAGCATTAATTGGAATGTAAGGAAGTGTAAGGAGGAAGTAATAAAAACGTAAATAAAACCTGTAAGAAGCGAAAATTGGAACGTAAAGGAAGTGTCAACTAAACATTAAAGAAACATAAATAAAAGTATAGATAAGTTCTTTGCACGATAAGTTCTTCTGCAAGCACAAGCAGAATGTTCGTTGAATTTAAACGGAGTGTGATTAGGCAGTAGAAGAACGAAGACTTCTAGAGAACGTAAATGAAGCATCATCGAGTTCTTATACAAACGTGAATAAAATGTAATCGAAGTTTTTGGCAAGCAAATGATATTTTAAAATATATTTCATTTATTCGGTAAATATCTAAAAAAAAAGTGCTATGCTTTCTTCTTGGGGAGCTCTAGGGGCTTCAAAAAATTATTTTATTAGAACACAACTGAAAAATCTTTCAATGTTATGTCTTTTATCCTAATCTGTGATTTTTTTAAATTCGAGAAGTTAGTTTTCATTAAGTCCTACGCGGTGCCGCGTACTACTCAATGACGCTTCGTTTTATGTTCGTTGTACAACTCAATGATGCTCCGTTTTAAAATAAATTTTTTTATCTCTATATCCTGAAAGCGTACAGAGTTCAAGTATCAATCATGAAACTTTACCCCTAGGATGGAAAGTGAAAAATGAAAATTTTAACTATTGAAGTTAATGGAGAAATTTTTCACTTTTCACTTTTCATCCCAGGAAAAAAGTTTCATGATTGATACCCTTGGCTGAGTATTCAGCATAGAGCTTATACTATTAAAGGAGAAATACTGATGTCAAGCTGTGAGCAAGATCTAAAGGACAGAAATATCTTTCTATCCTCTTTTATCCTCTTTTGACACATGTGCAGAAAGAAGAAAAATTACTGAGCAGGACAGAAATACATCTTCTGTTTCTCAGATCTTGCTCACACTTTCCACTTATTGCTTGAGGCCATTCCTCCTCCAATAAGTATAAGCTCTATGATATTCAGGAGCCTTAATTCAACATTTTTGAGTACTTACTTTTATAAGTATTTACTTATACTAAACTTTTATACTAAATTGAAACTTAGTAAACGTAAATTTAATAAAAAATAAAGGGGTACCCCCAGAACGCAGTGTTGTTAGATGGGCCGGGTTTCAGATGCATGGTTTCATGCGCGTCCAAAATAGCTTTAGCAACGTACCGATCACTATAAAATAGAGATCATATTTCGCACGGACGTGAAAAAATTCGTAATCGTGCACAACATCGAGATATAGCTAAGAGCAGATTGATTAGGATGATTTGTAATCGTAAATTATGACACAGGATTTATATTTTGAAAGTTATGACATTTTATTATTTATTTTAAGACTGTTATACAATTCTGCAGACATATATTTAGCGTTGAAATAGGATACAGGATGGATGATATTTAATTAATAACATTTTTTTCTAATCAAATATGTCGATCATATTAATAATAAAATTTTTAATTTTAATTTTTCTATAATTTTTTTTTTTTAGTTTTCTACAGTGATTAATATATATTACGGAGCCTTAGACTGAAAATATACTTCATCAATAATCAATTTGCAATCATTTAAATAAATTTTAGACTTATACTTAATATGAACGTATTATATACTTAATACATATTCAATAATAAATGAGCGATATTTAATGTATAATTTACAACATTACGCAAGCTTTTCTTTTGTTCTAATACTCCCAATCTTCATATCTACATTTTTTATATATTATAATATGTTAGTATAACATTATATATTATGATATAATATTATACTAACAATGAGTGTGAATAAAGATATTGTACGCTATGCATATATAAATATTTGACATATCAATATTAATGCATGAAACATGAAGTGAAAAAAATTTAATAAATTTATTATATTAGATGAACCTTAACGCTGGTTGTCGAAATTTTATCCTTCTTATGTTAAATCAATCCGATAAACTGTAGAACATTTTTTTTTGTAGAACATTTCTCGCTCTGTTCAAATTTGTTCATCTTTATATAAAGAGCGGAATTTCTGACTGACTTAAAAAGTTTGAAAAATTTCTTTATTTATCTGTTCTGTAAAATCAAATTATAAATAAATAAAGATATCAAATTGTAAATGGTAATTCTCCGTTAATAGCAGCTGCCACTTTTTTATTCTTCATGATTGTCACATGATCACCTTCAATGTAATGTACTTTTACCACATTTTGAGTTACCTTAAATAATTACACACTTTATTAACAAAAAAATTTGTTAAATTTTATTTATCAAAGAATATAGATTTTTTTTTAAATACCTTATGCAAACAAAAATCTTCTTCGATTGCAATCATATTTGATGAGTGTGTACATTTTAGCAATGTTATGGGAGACTTAATAGGCGGTAATGTAGAAGGATCATAATGCCGAAGAACGGATAAATGTTTGTAAATCGATGTTGACACCGTCTTTAAATTTGCAAGTGAGAGATATGGATATATAACTGAGAACTGTTTAGCGAAAATATTGAATCTTTCATTCCAGCTCTCACATTTCTTCAATTCCACTAAAATCTACAAAAATATAAAAATTTTTGTTCTCATATATAAGATCGAGACAGAACGAAGGAATTGATTTTAATCCACATAAAGAAACTGAAAAATAATATAAATATGCCGTAAATTAGTTTCAATGTGAGTCCAAAATAAAAATTGCATATACTTTTTGAGAACTTCCTGCGGAATAGATTTCTAGAATCGTAGTTAATATATCAATCTGAAAATTTGCATCATCAAAATCTAATTCAAAAGGTTTGAACATTGTTCGTGCTAGCTCAGGAGCACCGTCGATGAGAACAAGTCGGCCTTTAAAATTCATAGCTTCTAATTTCCTTGTTATTTCAAATGCAATAAGAGATCCGAAGGAGTACCCTACCATTACAAAATTCATTCCATCTGTTAGCTTTGAAAGTACGCGCTGTAAACATATCAAATGTATTCGATGAAATTGATATTCTTTAAATGAAAACAATTCTTCATCAACATAAAATAAAATTACTAATACGATGCATACGTTTGTCAGACGATTAGTAGTCTCCATTATCGTATTTGCAGAATCGATGTTGTCTGCGTTATAATGCAACAATGATGTTGAAAATTTAATAAGTGGTATTATGGTTTTAAATACAGAACCACATCCGTCAATCCCTGGTATAAGAAATACTTCAGTCGTAGTGTTCTGTCTGTTAGTCGAAAAATCTGAGAAAACAAAATCTTCATCGTTTAATGTAATACCAACTAAAATTTTGATAATGTCTGACTTCTCTATGTTTTTTTTCTCATCATTCGCATCATCGTCACTGATGTTTGCAACGGACATCTTAATGAGTTTTGCGAAAGTGAGATTTCGTATATCTTGTGTTGTGATAAATATATCAAATTCTCGTTCCAGAGTTTGCTTGATTTCTACAGCCATCATAGAATCCATTCCGAGTTCGGCCAGAGATGAATTTAGACTTACAACTTTTATGTCACTTATGTCTACAATATAAAATTATTATGATCTATAGTATGTAATGCCTTCTATAAATAAGTAGTATAATATAGCATAATGTCTTTTGTAAATTAGATTAGCAAATAAATATGATTTGTTAGTATTTGCAAAAGAATAAATCTTCATAAGAGCACCTACTTAAAATATTAGCAACTGTTTCTACCAGACTTCCGTGACATCCCACTTTTTTTTCAGCTACGACCATGCTGCTTACAATGGGCCGACTTTGGAGTAGAAACTTATCGAGCTCGTTGAGACAGCAAGATATTTTTTGCTGTAAAGTGCCTCCGATAATTAATTCCTTATCATCCTCCATCATGTCAGCGACAAGCCCCACGTCACCCACAGCTCCCCACTGAATCGCCAATGCCGGCAATCCTTTCTCCGCTCTTTTTTCACAAATTCTTTCCATAATAGAGTTGGCCATGCCGTAATTTGTCTGACCAGCATTTCCTCTGCCGCAAGAAACGGAAGAGAATACCACAAAATGCCGCAGATTAAGACAGATTTCCCTAGAAAGCTTGTCTAACATTTGCGTTGCACGAGCCTTCGATTGAAAGGACTCTGCAAATGCTTCTGCAGTTTGGTTTTTAAAAATGCCATCTCTCAGTACCACACCGAGATTGAATATAGCGTCCACTGGAGCTTCTTTTTCCGCAGTCCGTAAAAGATATTCGCAATCTTTGAGATCAGCAACATCGATATTCTTAATGATCAGAACGTTTACGCCATACGATTTCCATAGTCGAACTTTCATGCGTTGGTAACCGTTTTTTATTCCATTTCTTGAAATCAGAATGATGTTTCTAGCACCACGAAATATAAGCCAGTCTGTTAATTCTAAACCAAATCCGCCCAGGCCTCCTAGTATAATGTAACTCCTATCTTTGAGACAATAATAGCAACGATACGCGAGAATGTGCTTATCTAAAGGTTCATCTTTTTCATGAATATTTATAATTATCTGTAAAAATAATCGTATTAAAGAAATTCATATTATATGAATAGGACTATAGAATGCTGTTATTTACGAATAAACCTTTTTATTATTATAATATTTATTAACACAAGCATACCTTGCCCATATGTTTTCCGCTCGCCATATATCTAAAAGCTTCTTCAACATTAGTTTTTGAAAAAATTTTTGCTTGGATTGGTTTAACTGTTCCATCATTTAAACCATTTTGGACCAATGTGAACAATAAATTTTTCCAATAAATTTTTTCATCTTTATTTTTTTCTATTATATTTTCAAGTCTAATCCCATGAAAACTGATACCTTTTTGAAATGCAGACATATCTAGAGAATTGTTAGAAACAAGATCGAATTTGCCAATCTCTAAGAATCGACCATTTTGAGCTAAACACCGAACGGAGGCGGTTAATTTTTCTTCTGCCAATGAATTTAACACAATATCGACTCCGTAATATTTCGTTTCCTGCATTATCATTTGTTCAAAACTAGTATCTCGAGAATTTCCAATATGTTCATCCAAAATAGTCGGAAACATTTTTTTAATAAAATCCCGTTTATCATTCGTGCCCACTGTAGTAAATACCTGACATCCCTCTTTAAGAGCGACATGTATAGCTGCTTGTCCAATGCCTCCAGTACCAGAATGTATAAGTATTTTATCACCTTTTTTTATTTTTCCATAAACGTATAAGGCTAAATAAACCGTGCTGTAAACGCACGGCACCGTTACTGCCTCTTCAAATGTCCATGCATCGGGTATATACCAACAAAGATCTTCATCTATCTCAACGACATTTGCTATGCAACTAGTAAGAGTAACTTTGGTAAATGTTCAATATAGGGGAGCACTTTCCGATGACTTCGACCTTGACATATGTGGTCATTCCGATGACTCCGAGTGATCTTCAAAAGATCTTAGCCCGCGGTCATCCTTCGTTAAAAAGTTATTAACACAAAAATTTCAAAAATAACATATTATTTCTGCTATACATACAATATTAAATATTATTCTATATAGGTTTTGACTTGCCATGCGCAACGGTTCATCCCTCCTCCAAAACAAAGAAACGTAATAATTACTGGAAATAATTGTACTTATATGATATATCTTTATTTTAATTTTACTTTTTTTTATTTGTTAAAATTATTGATATATAACGAAATAATGTATATATATAAAAGAAAATTATAATTTTATTTTTTATTTATAAAAATATAATAATGGTGGAGACTAACGGAGACAACAACAAACATTAACGTAAGTACGCGTACTACGATCTTTTAGATCATTACAAACATATCAAATTTTATGTAGATATAAGTATATTTATGTTATTTCTATATTTTCGCATACTATACGAAAACATTTACAAAAAGGTAAAAATATAACAGTACCAATAAATTGAAAGATATAAATAGAAAACGGAAGAGTAATGGCAAAAAGGCCGATATGTGATCACTTCCGGGTTAAAAGGCGCACGACGCATAATTATACTGTTGCATGTGGATTTCACAGTTGTCCCGTCTAGAATCAATTCAATTTTTGATACAACAATTAGCAACTTTGGTTGTTAATAATTTTCTAACAAAGAACGACTGCGGACCTTTTGAAGGTCACTCGGAGTCACGACCTTCACCACATGTCAAGGTCATCGGAAAGTGCTCTCCTATACTGAACATTTACCGTAACTTTTAATTACTGTCTATTCTATGATATCACAGCATAATAATTTATTGTAGCATTACATACTCAGTATCACGGATTCCCATTATACGTTGTCCGTTAGCATTGAAACCCGCGTATTCTATTCCAAGAGGAAGATACTGGAATAACCGTCCTCGTAAAATCATCCCATGATGAAGTGTTAGTTTACCAGTGGCCAACATTATATCTTTAAAATTCAGAGATGAGTAGACAACGTGCGCCAAGTTCTCACGACAACACACGTCTAATATATTATTTTCTATCCAACAAAGTGTACTTAAGTCACCACGAACCTATGAAAAAGTGAAATTTCTTTTATGACATGACATATACAAAACAGAATTTTAAAAAGAAGCTTTGTAAGAGTATTCAATCCTCCGTCCAACAAGTAGAATTATACGTTTAAGAGACAAACGATAAATAATGTTATAAGGACCAATATGTGCTGAAAAAGTTTATGTTTACCGTTTGACAGATATGAGCGGTAGGTACAGGTTTGACTTCGGGTTGTGATAGTTTCAAATGTCTGTACGATCCCCAAGTTTTATTAAATCGCAGTACATTAATGATCATATCTTTCTCTAATTGCTCTAGATAGAAGGGATCTTCAAGAGAGAATTTAGGTGCTTTGTCATCTTGAACAAGCACACCTCTAACAAGTTCTCCACCTGGCTCTTTTCTCAAACAGTTAACAAAACCTAATAAACCACATTCAAAATCTCCCTCTCCTACAATTATAATTCTGCTATTCTTGTCGAATTTATTCTTATCGCTTACAAGTAGCTTTAAATTTTCCAGCCAATTAAAATTATCATTATTTATGTAAACAACAGTCCTTTCTTTTATTAAAACTTTTTTCTTCAGTAGAACAATTATTTCTTTTTCAGTGCGTTTTTCGAGAATAACGTTTAACTCGTATTGTTGCAAACGTTTTTTATAATCAGTTATATCGCATTTCTCACGAGTCAGCAAATAACCACCCTCTCCCAAAAATGGTAATAGTCGCTCTAATGATGCATGTTGTTTGGTCAAAAGATTGAATCCAGTAACAATTAAAGCTTTATCATCTGTAGATGATTGTTCAATATCTTTGATTGAACAATTTTGCGGTAAGTCTTCTGGCCTGAAACGATTTGATGATGTTAATAGAGTGATATTTACTTGTATTAGTGGCATATCACCAAATGCCTCAAGTAGCAGTGATGATGAAAGATATTCTAATTCAACATCATCGACATCTTCCACTAGCTCAACGGCTCGCACTTTAATAATTTGATGATCTTCCAATACGAGTTGAGCTGATAATCGAATTGCTTTGTTCAAAGAAATCTTAGCGTGATCACAATGAGCTACAAATGTATGTTCCTCGATAACAGCATTTTGTTCTAATTTTCGGCGAGAGATCTGAGTAGCTTTCATGCCTCGAATCTCTATTCCGCCAGCTTTTATCGTGTCTATCTCTTTGTATATTCGTGCCTGTAATACTGCAATAAAATAATAAAATAATAAAATAATAATATAATACGCTTCATATGCAGATCTTAGACACAATTTACGAATTGAACGATGAACTTTTATTAGGTGTTGGAATTAATTCGTAGCGTTTTTTAATGAAAGAATGTTATTTATTTCACATGAGCATTAAAAAATACATTAATGAAAGTACTTCCCATCACTTGTAAAACGCTACGAATTAATTCCAACACCTAATAGTAATTAAGTAATTGAGAAAGTACAATTACGTTTGTCAATGTCTGTTGCGTGAACATCTTCGTCATCCGCGTTCTGTAGTTTACATGCGTGAAGCATTGGATTGATCACTAATTTCTGAATACTTGTAGGAACATATAGATCTCTAGTATCGTATCCGATAATTAACATTTGTAACATGGTATCCATGAATGTTACCCAATTATTTTTCCAAATGATATGTCCTTGATTTCCCGAAATAGAGGCACTCTTTAATCCACGAAACCAACCGCTGTACTGGTATCCACGCAATTTCAACTCTTTATAGATATCTCGTGCAGTCATGTGTTCTTCTTCATCATTATTCTCCGGTAATAAATCTATTGGAATCATTTCCTGTTCTGGATTCTCCGTCTCGTATACTGTACCTGTGACAAGAACGCTATCTCCTTCAGTTATTTCAAACCGTCCATCTGTAACATTTTCATATATTTGGCTATACTGCGATTTTGTTATCGTAATGCATTAATTAAGTAATCGGTATTCGCTATTTCATCGAAAACCTCATTATTTTTAAACTATAACATATATTTTTAAACATTATTGTTAAATATTGTACAATAATAAATGTTTATACATTAATTTAAGGATTTAGATTGAACCTGTGAATATCATTAAGGAAATTTCATAGGAAATACCGATTACCTATATAGAATTAAAACCGCTCATTGAGTAAATACCTTTCTGTATTGCAACAAATAGTTCTGTAGCATTATCTTTCGACAAATGAGTAGCTCGAATAAATTTTACATCTTCAAAGACTATCGGTATCGTTGTGTGCATCGATCCTTTCATCAAGCCAATCGTTTGCCAAACGAATCCCAAATAACCCATCGCGGGTAACAAATTTCTTCCATCGATCACATGACCGCTCATATATTCATGATCTTCATCATCGAGTACAATGTTGATGTACCTTCCTCTTGATTTAATATACTTCTGTTCTGCGCTCGATGTAAGCCAATTTTCAGAATGACACCATCTGAATTATTATAATTCTTATTTATATGTGAATAATTATTCATACTCATATAATGATACATTATTCATTATACGTATGAGAAATAACTATTATTTTATATTGTATATTTATACCTAATAATTTTGCGATTAGAATTAATAATATACAGGGTTTTTTATTCTGGATAAATGTTTATCTTTAAAGTGTCATATTCCTGACTTAATTCTAAGACGATTTTTCCTTTGTCAAAATTTTGTCCGGAGTTTAGTTTTTAAATTGTAATAAGGAATAGTTAGCTAATGACGAGACGCTTAGAGAAGAGGTGGCGCAACTCACTGTCCGACGCAGACGGTATGATCTGTGTGCATTATGTGTCAGTGGAAACGTGTGATATCTATAAAAATAAATTTCTAAGCCCGGATCTTCGTACGCCCTGTTGAAAATTTTTGTAAGTTTTTTGTACCAGATCTTAAAAGAGTTATATGTGATTACTAAATGAACGTACATAATTATATAAGAATCTTATATAATTTGTACATGAATCTCACAGTAATCTTTAATGATCTTAGAAATCTGGAATGAATCGTACACAATTTATATCGCAATGAAAGGATCTTGCCTTAGTCTTATAAGAAATTTTTAAAAAGTAATTTTTTTATAGGATCGTCTAAGAATATAGTAATTATGTATGATTCCTAAGTATTACATGAAAGTATTACATGAAAGATCATGTATCAGTCTTTAAAAACGTATAGTTACGAATTTATCTTTCAAGTTGATACAGGAATCTAGCGATATGAATCGTACACAATGTTTATACAATAAAAATTTAATTGTTTAGTCTAATGAGATACTCTTAAGAAATAATTTCTTTACATGATCGCTTCAAAGTAATAAAATATCAATTGTCCCAGTAAATGAAATGGAATTATTGAATGAACAGAAACTAGATTGAATATGAGATCTGTCCCAAAAGTATCCGACCTCTGCGTATATCTTTGTCCTTGGGCATCCTATTGTGGAAAACAGATATTCAGTATTTAGGATGGACTTTTAGGAGTACCCTCACTAAACAGCACGATCCAATAACTGTTTAGTCGACAATGGTACGCAGTTATGTGAGCGTCGTAAACTCCGAGCGTCGCATTTCACAATGACTGACGAATCGAGCAGAGAATTTGTATTAAATTTTGTCAAAAACTTGGCCACACAATCCAAAACAATCAGCATGATCCGTCAAGTTTATGGTAATAATTCTATAAGTGACACACAAATAAAAGAATGATTTAGACGGTTTAAAAATGGCCGTGTTTCAGTGGACAGTGATCCTCGTTTTGGCAGACTTTCAACGTCGAAAATAGTGGAGCACAATTGTGCGATCCACAATCAACAAAAATCGTCGTTTAACCATACGAGAGTTAGAAGAGGATCTTGGGATTTCAAAAACTATTGTTTCTCGAATATTGACTGAAGATTTGGAAATGAGTCACATGATTGCAAATTCATTCCATGAGTGCTTATGGAAGATTAAAAGAATTCTCGAGTTAAAATTGCCTAAGATATTTTGGAATCCATCAACAAAGATCCTGAGTTGCTTGTTACTGGCGATGAAACATAGGTTTATGGGTTCACAATCCTGAAACAAAAGCACAATCTTCACAATGGGCGACGAGAGAAGAGCCTTGACACAAGAAAGCGCGTCTAAATCGGAACAACGTGAAAGTAATGCTCAAAAATTCAAACTCTTTTCTTCGACCAAGAAGATGTTGTATATCACAAATATGCTTCACAAGGTCACACAACAAACAAGAAGTATTATTTAAAAGTTCTTAAACGATTGCGTGATGCAATGAGGAGGAAACGTCCGCATTTGTGGAAAAGTGGGAACTGACTGCAACATGATAATCATCTCACTTAATTCAGAAGTTTTTGTTGATTAACACGACATTGTCCAACTTCGTCAATCTCTGTACAGTCCAGATATAGCCCGTGTGACTTTTAATTATTTCCTAAGTTGAAATATTTGTTAAAGGGCAAAAGATTTGACGATGTTGAGGAAATAAAGCGAAATGCGAGAAATTTCCGAGAAATTTTTTTTGCGAGAAATAGTCATTTTCGATATGGTTCTATAATATGAGAAATTCACAATAAGCTGGATAGGAAGCTCTGAATCTATTTGCTTCTATGAGGAATTGCGCACCGAATTTTATATTCGGACTTATCCGTAAATCCGGATTTGCTTGCATATAAACAATTTTAAAAGAAATTTCCGTTTCAAATACGTTTTTTTCCTCATAAAAACATTATAGTATTAGGCTTTATAAAGATAGATTTCTGGATAAAATAAATAAATTCGGTATTCCATGCGAGTTCCTATAAAATTATATGGATTGTGAAATACTTATAGAATCGATTTCGAAAGTTTTATAGTTTTATTTTCTTGTCACAGCCGAATAGGTGTAAGCAGATGTTAATTCCCGTATGAAGACCCGTTGCTTTTCGTTCTGGGATTCTTGATAGATACGCATACAGGATTCTATATTGAATGTTTTGCAAAAACCAAGTCTTACCGTTTATAGATTTTTCTACTATGATTTCCGGATAGAATAAATAAATGCGGTATTCCATAAAATTATATGGATTGTGAAATACTTGTACAACCGATTTTGAAAGTTTTATGATTTTCCTATCGGTAAACTGATTACTTGGAAGCAGATATTAATCCCACATTAAATCAGATAGACACTTATTGCGGAATTTCTGATATATCTACTCAATTCAAAGATTTAATGAAATTACACATGAACTCTCATAGAGTTTATATTTAAAATACTATATACATGCTAGGAAAAAGATTATTTTGTAATATACTAATAGAAACGGATAGAAAATAAATTAAGCAGAAGATGGTTTATGTGGCTTGCTTTTAGTACCGCATAGAAACCGATAGAAATTTTATATTTTATTTATTCTATCTGGTATTTTTAGCAGGGTATATTAAATGATTGAAAACCTCCAGAGAATATCTGAATAGGGAAAATTTATCGAGCGCAGCTACGAAATAGTTATTGTAAGTAAAAGTAACCATGAGTTTGTTTGAGTAACAATGAGTTAAAAATGACTAAACAATGAGAGAAAAGAGGCATTTAAGGGTATTTTCATGGATAAAAAAATTCTCAAATAAAGAGATAGTTTCCTTAAAAATACAACTTTAGTTAAAATATAGATGTAGCAAGTCTTATGAAAGTTAAAATATTAAAATTTGAAATTTTGTTTTGGCTCAAAATTAGAATTTCCCGTCAAAATGTTAAACAAAAATTCAGGGTTATATGTCTGAATAATATCTGCCATCACTTAAAATTTCAAATCAATCCATTAAAAATTCACAAAGAAAAAAATTATTTACTAAAAAATATCATTTCGAAGATTATAGACGATAGAGTATTCAAAATTTGCCTAAACTAAGTTTCCTCTAGTGACAAAAAAGTGCGCTAAGTTTCAGCCAAATCCATTGTGAGGAGCCTCCTTATTAAGTTAAAGTCTTTGTATATTTACAATTTTTATATAGACATCTAAACTACGATTACGATAATTTACCTGATTGATGGAGAAATCATAGGAGTTCCTCGGCTAACTGGAAATTCGACTGGTGGGTATAAATTGGCAATTTGTAGCTGTAAACCACAATTGTAGATCTTCCCAATTCCTTGTAAAGTTATATCAATATTTTTATTGGTCTGTTGAGTCAATACAATATTCGTTACACTTGGATGTAAGGAGTCTGTCAAAGCGTGATGCAAAATATTGTCTGGTGCGATTTCAATAACCACAGCATTGTTTGGAATTAGATCCGTAGTTTGTTGAAATAGAACAGTGTTTAATAAACTTCGAGTGTGATAGTCTGCCGATGATAACTTTGCTGTTGAAGTGGACCATTTGGTGCGAGGTATAGAAGTGCTGATCCACTTTGAACTCCGTTTTTTTGGCTGTGGTATTATTTTATTCAAATTAAGCAGAAGCTGAGTTTCCGCCGGTGCGAGATAAGAACTGTGATACGGTACATTGCAGTAGATCTCCTTCACGTAAACATTATTGACCTGATTATATAAAAATGCAACATTTAACAGATAGGATTTTTATATACAAAATAAATAATAATAAATAAAGGACAAAGTAAGTCAACACAATTAAATAGAATAAATTACAAATAAAGAAAAATAAAAATAAAGAAAACAGTTTAAATTCAAATATAAAACATTACAAGTTTCGGCTACCGGATTGAGCCCTTTTCAGACATTTACTTATCACAAAGATTGCTATACAAAATTATCGAAAATGTCTACATATTCCTTATAATAACAGCTCGAGTATGTCAACCAAATCTTTATATACTATGTGTTTATTTTTAAGTGAATTTTTTATACGTTGATTAACTGTATCAAAAATAAAAGTTAATGGGTAATCATTATCTAATAAAATGTTAATAAGTGTCAAATTTTTCGAATTTATGAAACATAAAATCAGAAAGTAAAAAAACTCTGTCAACTAAAGAAAAAATTGTACCTTTCTTTTGTGTAATTGAATGATTTTAAAATCTCTCTGAAAAAGTAGGTTTGCAATACCGATCAAAAATAAATCGATTATTACTAATAAATATTGTATTCAAAAAATCTAATTTTCCTGCCTCTATTTCTAGTGTAAATTGAAGATGTGAATGAAATAAATTAAAATGTTATAGAAGAATATCAATTTTTGAGAGAGAAACTGCAGTATAAATGTCATCTACATATCTATAATAAAATAGAATGTCCATCTTCATAAAAATGCAACATATACAGCTGTAGCAGATTGTAGCTTGAATGTTTTAATGTTTTAAAAACTATCAAATAATTTTTCTATTTCCTCATAAAGTATAAAAGCTGTTTTTAATTCTACCTTTAATTTTTTCATAAATTCTTGTACGGATTCTGGTGGTCCACACACGACGCTGTTTTGACATACAATTTCAATATCCAATGGACATATATTTTTAAGATGCTCGTAATTTAAACTGACAACTGCCATTGAGCTATGAATTATTTTTTCTTTGGTACACGTTATACCGATAAAGTATGCTGATAAAATAGTTTGTTCTATGGTGAGACATTTATCTGCGTATGCACATCCAAGTTCACCGCCTGAATGACCAATCATATAATCGGGAGTAATTCCTAAGGATGTTAGGAGATCTACTAATCCAATCTACAAGTATATATGAATAATTTTAAATATATAGTTGGATAATATATTTAAAAAATTTGTTATTGATATAATAATAAAATATGCAAATTTAATCGATTTAGTAAACAATCTATTTTTAAAGCTGTATAATGACATTAAAAAAAATGTATTATATATTTATAGTATGTGTTTTACTGAAATATTATGATATATACTTAAGTGTAATTATGAAAAGTAATAAATTTTTTACCTGAATAGCGACGATTCCAAGACAAACATTTAACGTGTTTTCGCATACTGATTTGTCTGCTTTTGTTAAAATATCTGTGACACTTATATCATACGATTTTAAAATATCGTCACATTTTCTTATTGTTTTTGCAAAAGTATGAAATTTTAATAAGTTTCGACCTAATAAAATTTTAGTTTATAAGTTACATCATTTTGTTATTCAAGTTAGTACATATATTATTAATAAAATATGAAATACTGAGTGTACCCATTCCTGGCCATTGAGAACCCAAGGATGAAAATATAAACCAAACAGGTCTCTTCACGCCTTCACAATTTTGAATTTCCTTTATTGAATCTTGTTGGAAAGAATTCAGTATAATGTACCCTCTCCATGAATGATTTTTTATATTGTCTGCATAGACATCGTGTAATAAGCGAATATATTCTACATCTATTGGTTGGTTAGCAATCTATAATAATAAATTTTTTTATGTTAAAACATAGTATCTGTAATTGTTCAAAATAGTATTGAAATATTTTTGAAAAATCTATACTAACATCATTTAAAAACAATTTCACTGATTCTTCAGTGCGTCCAGATAATACGACAAGTCTAGGTAAATCATCATTTGGTGCTCCATTATTTATTTTCAGTTTATCATTCCACTTTAATAACACATGAGCATTGGATCCACCAAAACCGAAATTATTAATTCCTACGTAACCATTTTGAAGTTGCATTGGTTTTTCGATGACACGAACTGTTCCGTTTATCAAGGCATCTATATCATTCCTTGGAGATGTATAATTGATATTTGGTGGAACAAAACCGGTTTCAAATGCTATTATTACCTTTAATAAATAATAACAATTTTGAGATATAAATTTGAATTAATTTGCCAAATATCGACTTATACGCTCTTATATGTATATTGTTACCCGTATTCATAGTCTTTCCTTGAGGAATGAGGATTTCTTGTTTCTCATTTCACGTTTTATAAACTTGATCAAGCAAGAAGCCTTATTAGCATAATGTAAGAATACAAGAAGTACCATTGCGATAGCAATATTGGAAATAACCAATCAAATTTTGACTTCTATGCATTTTTTTGTGTATAATAGCACTGATATATTGAAATAGCTAATCAAACTTTGGAAATAAGCTGCGTCAAAAGCATTTTCTCCTTTTCCTTATAATAAGTATTATGGCGAATTTGATTAGTGCGCACTAATGCACATTAAAGCCATTATACACTGATTTAATTTGAATATAAAATGAAATGCAAATTTATTTAAACAATGTCGTGGCTTTTTTGAGCTTATAATTAGAATAACTTTAAATATATATATAATTAACATAAGAATATAACTACTAAATAATATTCTACACAAACGTTTCGCCTTACAAAGTCTTCTTTAGTGTTAAAACACAGAAATACAATATTAAATTAACAAACCAAATAAATAACAAGTACAATGAAAATTTAAAAAAACTATCAGTGGTGAAGTGTCAGTATATAAAGAATTCAAACGTCAAAAAGTACAGGGTGGGCCATCTATTGGTACGTTTTTGAATTTCGTCGTATGGCAACACCGAACGAGCTACAGACCCGAAATTTTGACAGTTTATTAGTCATACCGTCCGCGGCACGAAACAACATGTTTTCTCTTGAAGAGCGTTTTGAAATTTTAAAAACTTATTTTCAAAGTCAGTGCTGTGTCGCCGAAACTGTACGAATTTTGAAAAGAAATATGGGTCGTGATAGAGCACCCACCGAAGGAGCTATACGCAAATTGGTGAGGAAAGTTCGTGAGAAAGGGATGTTAGTGGATGACATTATATTACGACTGTTTTGAGTGAAATTGGCGCCGAGGTAGTCCAAAATGTCATTAATAATTGGGGTGACCGAATGGCATACTGTAAGGCCAGTAGAGGGAGCCACATGAACGAAATCGTTTTTCATTCTTGACGCGGATACTTTTAGCTTCACAACAAAAAAAAAATTAATAAAAAATATCAATGTATGCTCATTTGATCGCATTTTTAAAAACGTACCAATAGATGGCCCACCCTGTATTATGACAGATTACAATAAGATAAGAAAATTAAATATTTCAGTCAACAATAGATTACATTACATTGTCCCATTACATTGTCCCTGTCTCAGGAACCAATCTCAGTAAAAGTGTCGTTATTTTATCTTAGTGCTTAAGGGTTAAAATATCAAATAAGAGATTGATTTCAAAAATGTATTTAATGAGTATTTTTTATTATTTAGTTAGCTCTCTAGATTGTGAAAAGTGTATCATTTTTTCATAAATGAATAGTAAAGGAACAACATTTATTATTTTCTTATATAGTTTGCATTAAGTAATATCACAAAATACAACCACGGGAAAAAGCAATTTTTTGCACACATTTCGAAAAATACTAAATTCCTCATTGCTGATGATTCAAATATATACTTTCTTAGAACCTTGCCTTTGATAACGGAGATATCTCTCTTTGCACGGACTTCACGCCATTTAATGAAAACTCAACTTTTGGAAATGAAAAATATTTCATCGGAAGATTTTTCGTTTTTTAATAATAATTTTTATAGTTTTTTACTACACTTCAGTTTAATCTGTGATCTACACAGAATATTGTATAATCACTTTATAAAACGTGCAGCCGCGATTTGCGACCATGGCTGCACTTGCTTTGTCACAATGCGTTCACAACGCTTTAAGCATTATCTTTATTGTTTATTAAATATTAAACAAGGACAAATGACTCTCACAAGGGCTGTAAGCGTCAAAGCGAACACAGCCCATATTGCACCCAAACCGGTATTAATCGAAATCACTCGTAATTAGTAATTTATTGACGGTCATGTGTTTATCCCTTCTGTTTTTTATATATGCGTAATGGGTTACCACCGGACGAGCATATCCTTGTCTTTATATTATGACTAAAATCCTTAAAATATTCCTTCCTTCGGGAAGGAAGACTTGAGATGAAACAAGGAGACCTTGGAGAATCGAGGAATTCTTCATGGAGACTTCCTCTACTCTTAAAATAAGAAAGGACTATGAATATAGGTGTATATTGATTTTAGTGGACATCGAATTTAATAAAAGATTTTCGCAATCTTTTTTAGTCTTTGTTTTGAAAAGTCTTATAGTGTTACTTATCGATCGATTTGTATAAAGTGTATCTTCTGCTTGTATATATGTGTATAATTATGTACGAAATAAAAGCAGGTTTTGTAATAATAGATGAAAACAGAAGCTACTTGTTTTACCTTAGCGATCTGATTGAAACCACTCGCAGGTTCAGTATGACCAAGATTAGATTTTACGGAGCCGATCATTAATGGAGTTTCTCTGTTTGTACAAAAAACATTATAGATAGCATTAATTTCTGGAGGATCGCCAGCTATCGTAGCGGTACCATGTGCTTCGACATAATCCAAACAAGATGTTGGTATTTTGCACTCTTCATAAAATTCCTTTAGTAAAGTATATTGCATTTGTGATGAAGGATATGTTATTCCTTCTTCTTTGTAACCATCGTTGTTTAATTTTATATGGGGACATATGGCATAAATCCTCTTTGCATTTTTCGCCTTTTGAAGGTATACCACTGCCGCCGTTTCGCCACGCGCATAACCGTTAGCAGCACTATCAAATGGTCTGCAATAACCAGTTGGTGACAAAACGCCTAAAAGATACAAAATACAGTATGCATATTTAATTCATGTACAATGGATATTTAATCCATATACATATTTACATAAAAAATTATCAGTTTTGTCTATGATAATGTAAAGTAGGGAAGACCGGGGGGAGACCAGTTATCATAGTTTTTGATTAGTGATCTTTAGAAAAAGGTGGATGCTTGATTTGGAAATATTATATACGTTATGATGTACCTACATTCTTTAGATATTAAAAAAAAATTACTCGTAAATTTATTATAATCACTTTTAATAAAAGAGATTGTATTCACAAACTTTGTCAGAGTAATGATTAATTAATTGTAATAAATATCTTCTATGACATGTCATTTTCTATGAATACAGGACGATTAATAATGCCAAAGATTTCTCAAACAACAAAATAGATGATAAGAAAAATTTACTAACTAATTTTATTTTCTTAAAACTCACTATAAATAATATATACAATGCTTGTGCAAATCATTTTACATGACAAATTAATGTCATATCAGCAATCTACAGTAAAAAAAAGAAATTTTTCTGTCATGTCCTGTTTGAGTTATGAGCATTTTGACAATCAACTCGTACTATAACTAGCCCCGGTCTCCTCTACAAGTAATGTAAGTGTGTTTTTTTTTCAAAATTATATAGTTGTAGTTTATTTATTTTTTTTGTAAATTACGAAAGTGGATTAAATGGTTTTTAAATGTCACATGCATATTGTATTATTAGATTATTAAATTTTAATAAAATGCAAAAGATAATTATTTATATTGGAAATACCAAGTCGAGTGAATTGCAGATTTACAATGGGAGCAAAACATAAATTTGCTGTTCCAATTATTGCATCTTCACATTTTCCTGACATGATATAATCATAACCAACGGCCATAGCATGCAAGCTAGAACTGCATGCTGTATCGATGGTATAAGATGGTCCTTTCAGATCCAAGAAGTATGAAATCATATTTGCCGTTGCAGATTTATGGCATCCAATAATATTCTGACCACCTATCTGTAATAATTGCAGTACATTTGCCGTTACAATTTTCACACGTAAATAAAAGATTAAAGTGAAAAAAGATTACAGAATCTATTCGAGAAAGTTCATTTGCTTATAAATCGATTGTCTACACAGTCTACAGCATTGTTTGCCCATATCTCATTTATCTACAGATCGATTGCCTACATGCACTTTTGCGCAAAAATATAAAATATTTAAAAATAAAGATATTTACATATATATTGTTGTCTATAAACACTATTCATTGCTTTAAAAACACAAATTCTGTTTCAAATTTTTTACTTTAAAACATAAATTTTTTGCTTTAAAAATTATTGTATTTGAAATCATTTAATTAGAAGAGAGAAGTAATAATTGTGTTTATTATAGAATATTTACATGACGGTTATTATTTTAATTATGTAACTTTTATAAGCGTAACAATAAATTTGCTCATTTTATAAATGTATTGTAAGGTAGGATCAATTATTATGTATATTTGACTAACATTAAGAATGTCTAGTGATAGAGGATGAAATGTTTGTTTAATTATGTGATACTTTGATTTTTTTAAATTAGTAAACATTAACAATTAACAACTAACATTGGCTCTTAGCCCTTTCTATCATTTCAAATAGATTCTGTAATCACTTTCTTATTATTTTTATATATAATATTATGTATATGTATTTTACATCAAGATACTTTCACAGGAGATATGATTTATCGTATATTTTACAGCACATTACAAAAATATTTCTTATTGAAGTTGAATATATGAAATAAATGCCTGAAACGTCAAGTTATAATTTCTAATGTTCATTTATATCGGTATAAAATGGAAATTATTATATATAAGTATATATATATATATATCATAGATAATAATATTTTACATTTTCATGGCCGGATTCATGTATACGTTAAATCGTTGAGTCAACGGTTATCAGTTGGACTAAAATGCGTGAGTTTACTGAGTCAGCGGTTATCGATTGTGAGTTCACGCGTAATATAGTTAATAAAGAGGATGCTGGAATGACAGCTGAACTTGATTAAGGTCGATATTATAGATTTTCATTTTCAATGTATAAGATACTTACGCTCTCTGAGTTAATATCATCATGTAGAAAATTCCGATAATTATCGATTATTTTTATTGCGTTTATTTCCTACATTATCATCTTAGCTCAGGGACAAAAACATTTTATTAGAATCGGTTCTACAAATGTTTACTTTAATTTTGGAAAATTTTCCAATTTTTGAATTGAAATAAAATGAATCGGGATTAAAGTTAATCTTACATTGTGGAACAATCAGGCTTTAGAAATACAGTTATATTATATACACATGCAATGTAGTTCGCGTTACAATATTAGTACAACACCAATACTGTAATATATATAAAATACAGATTTTTAACTAACAGTTATATCGATACAAACCCGTATTAGCACTTTTTCCTTACGTCCAATTTTGGATTAGACACATAATGTGTATTATTAATAAATTAATATGGCATTGTACATATATACATAATATAACTCTTTTTGTTCTATCTAATAAAAAGAGATAAAAGTTATACAGATATTATTGATATGTTGACTTATACGAGGATGTAAGTTTGAAAAGTTCTCAGTTCTCTGATACAAAAATGACCGCACAAATATCAAATTGTTAATTTTAGAAAAATTTAATGCTTCGTTGTTAAAATTTTCAGACAGATGTGTTCATTAGTTTCTTTGTTTCAGTTGTGTCAAGCAACCAACTTTTCATCATGACAATTCATTCATATGTTTTCAATTGCAGATACAAAATTCTATGAATTGGTTCCGTATCATATTTCACCCGATTTGATAATCGAAATGCCTCTGGCAATAAATTAAAAATAGTCAGCTCATGATGAATGCCTCTGAAATTTATTTACAGGATGATTCAGAATAACCTTGTGTCCTTGCAAAGACTGAATTCTGAGACGATTTTTCCTTTACAAAAATTTTATCTGACGCTTACTTTTTGAGTTATTAAAGGATAAAGTTAGCAAATCACGCATATTGAAGCAGGGGCGACGCATTTACCGTCTGACGCGAGCAACCAAAAGAGGCACTCGTTGCGATCAGCTGTCTAAGAACATAGAGTTTCACATAATAAACGCTTGCACAAGCGCGCGTACACACACACACACACACACGATATGGTCGATTATCTCGCGAATCAATGATTTTATTGAAAAATTTTTTGAATGAAAGTTGCATGCTTGAAGAGAAACACATGATGGAAATGTGGATTTGATCTTGAATGACCTTGTCAAAATCAGGTCAAAGTTATTAATGTTTTTTTAAAAGGATTCCTATTTTTTATTACATATTCTTGTAGCTTATCTCAAGAACTTTCCAAAATACTATAATAAAATTACTTTTTGTTAAATACTTATTAAGTTATAGGGCAAGACCGATCACTGATCCGGCCAACTAAGACAAGACCGATCCTTCTTATCTGAAAATTTTCTTATCTGCATTGCATTTAGATGTCGTCTAAACGGATATCTATTACAATCTCTTTCTGTTCTACAATAATTTCGTCCAGCTTTATCAAGAATAAGAATAATATTAACGCTTTCATTTGAACTGTAAGCGGCCATTTTGAAAAAAACTTTGAAAAAGCCCACTAATGTAAAAAAATTGAAAGAAAAAGCTATACGAGAAAAAGAAGAAAATTAAATCGTTTAATTGGGAAGGATTGGATTCATTCCGTGCGCGTGAGTGTATATTAAGTAGTATGGATAGATCGCGAAAACGCGCGCGCGTAAGAATCCCGCTCACACACGCATGCGTACATAGATAATGCCGGCAATACTGTAACTTTCAAGCTCCATAACTCGGAAAGTACTCAATAAAACATAACTTTATTATAGTGTTTTGGAAAGCTCTCGAGATAAGCTACAAGAATATGTAATAAAAAATAGGGATTTCCATTTAAAAACACGTTAATGATCTTTATCTGATTTTGACAAGGTCACTCAAAGTCAAGTCTACATTTCCATCATGTGATCCCCTTTAAGCCATGCAATTTTCGTTCCAAAATTTTTTCAATAAAATCATCAATTCGCGAGATAATCGATGTATATATATATATATATGATATATTTTTTATGTATATTTTTTTACCTGAACATTTGTATAGAGATATTTCGCTTGTGGTTCAATATAAGATGCTCCTATAATGACAGCAGTATTTTTTCCTTGTAATTGCGTTGGATTAATCCCCGCATCGATAATTGCTTCGTAAGAATGTTCCAATAACAATCTTGCTTCACCTGAGAGTGTGTGTGCTTGTTCAAAAGATAATCCGAAAAAATCCGCATCAAATTTTTCTGCTTTATTGACAGTACCCATACGGCGTGAGAATTCCGGATGCTCTAAAGCTAGATGTATTCACATAAGGATTTTATATTTTTTGTTTATAATGTTATATATAATTTTAATTTATGATATACGTCATTGACCAATAAATATGCATATAATTATATTTAGTACCGAAGGAGTGGCATATTCTATTCTCAATCAATCATACATAAATATAAAAATATGAAGTGTAACTATAAATTTGAATTTTTACCTTTTCCCCATCGCTCATGATCTGCTCTAACGAGATCAATTTTATTGAATAAATTTTCTCGCAATTGATTCATATTATCCGAATTAGGAAATCTGCCAGCAATACCAGAAATAACGATTTCTTCACCGGAAACATTGTTCCTTGCTATTGTTCCTTTGTCATCCATGATTTTTATACACTGATATTCTAAAAAAATACTATGTATATTTATTTTATTCAAGGTTGAATATGAGTTTATTTGTCTTTTAACTAATAAGAGAAGTTTTACAACTGTCGAAATCGATTTGATTCATGAAATATGTCATTAAACACGAAAATCTAAGAAACATGTATTTTTTATACGTGCCCTAACTCATGTTTAAGGGGTTAAACACCCCTTTGAAAAAAAAAACAGTATTTTTCTTTCGAGGCGAATATCGTCGGAAGTATAAAAGATAGAAAAAAATATTTAATAAAAGTTGTACGATTTCAAGAGTATCTTAAAGTTATAAAAAAAAGAAATTTTATTAATGTTTTTGTTTAACAAAATATCCCCACCACTCATACTTTTTTTAAATTTTTGAATTTTTTTTATTAAATTAAAGATTATTTTTTACGAATTTAATCAAATTGTGTAATAAAGTTACATTATGACATATTATTTTTGAGAATTAATTATTAACACTTCCGTATATACGCTATCCATGCTCATATGCGTAAATAATTCGGAATAATAAAATATATAAATCAACAAATAAGGAAATTGACATGATTTGTAACATTACAAATTATAAATAATGTTAAGAGTTATAATAATTTTTAATATTTTTCCTTAAAGTGAAATTTTTTTAAATTATTTTTATACATTATTTCCTTATATCTTAAAATTATTCTCTTAATATTATTTTCAGTTTTAATATCTTATTTATTTGTTGTTTACGTAATAATTTCTAAACGTACTTAATAATGAAATAATTTCTAAATGCTAATACACAATAAATTTATATCTTGTATCGTTTACTCATACTCATCATAATAATGATACTCAATGAAAAAATGTTTTAAACATAATGATTTCTTACACCATGAACATTTTACTACGGCTATATTACTGCAACCTTATCATGTTGTTGAAATTTCGTCAAAATTAAATTCTACTGTATTTTTAAATTCTTGTGATCTTTCGTTTATATAACTTTTAAACCACGAATATTTAAATAAGTTGTGATATCATGGGGGTGACAATTGAATATGTATCGGAGATTGTAATTTTATTATATTATTTCGTTCAAATTTATATTACCTTCCAATAATAAAACAGTATTTGAAAATCTTTTAGCAAAATTTTTCCAAATTCTAAATATCTAATGGTTATATTTTCCCTATAGGTCTTTCGGTATAATCATAATATAATATGTTTGATATAATAATATGTTTTCCTGTAGGTGTTAAATCTGAAATAATAACGGAATAATGTCCAGTCCATAAAAGATAAGAAGAACGCTATTGGAACCAATGTTTGGAAAATAAGCTTCTTTTAATCACATTTTAAAATGATCTGTAAGAAATATAAATGTTAAATTAATAACTATTTTATGACCGTTATATACGAGATTCTTAAATAAAATATAAAATATCATAAAAATGAGACTTAATGTTATTATATTATTTCGTTTATGTAAATTTATATTTACTTTTTAATAGTAAAACAGTATCTGAAAATGTATTGTAAAAGATAATAAGTAAAAGTAAATAAGATATTAAAGCGTAAAACTAAAAATAAGAATAATATTAAGATATTATAAGGAAATAATATACAGAGATGAATAAAAAAGTTTTACTCACTTTAAGGAGAAAAATTATTATAACTTAACATTATTTATAATTTGTTACAAATATCAATTACAAATATCATTTTCTTATTCAATTAATTTCCTTATTCGTTGATTTATGTATTTCATTGTTTCGACAATTAATTACGCATGAACATGAATAATGTATATACGGAAGTATTAATAATTAATTCTCAAAAATGCTGTGTCGTAATGTAACTTTATTACACATGATTGAATTCATAAAAAAATAATCTTTAAAAAAAATTTTGAAGATTTAAGAAAATTATGGGTGATGGAAGTATTTTGTTAAACAAAAAAATAAACAAAATTTTTTTCTTTATAATTTTAAAATAGAAACCGTACAACTTTTGTTTAAAAAATTTTTTTTATTTTTCATATTTCCGACAACACTCGCTTCGAAAGAAAAATACTATTTTTTTTTTCAAAGGGGTGTTTCACCCCTTAAACATGAGTTAAAGCACGTATAAAAAAATACGTGTCTCTTAGATTTTCGTGTTTAACAACATATTTCATGAAGAATCAAATCGGTTCTGAACAATTGTGAAACTTCTCTAAGTAAGTTAAGTTAAAGCTAATGATCTCTAAAATTAATTCATTTTTGTTGTAAGTAGTATAAACAGAAAACTTACTTGAATAAAGTTGCGTTAAGATTAATTGAAATTTGAAGTTAAGAAACAGAAGTTAATTTCAAAAGCATTATTTATATTAGAATTAAATTTGTAATATTATGTTACTTTATATGAAAAAAACGTAAACAATAAAAATTATCGAATAAAAATTTAACATATTATTTATTACATGTGTTAACATATTATTTTTTAAATGTGTTATAAACTACTCGAAAAATGTATTATTTCTTACTATATGATAATTCTAATATTTACATCGTGCGAGAATTTACGTCTCAGGAGTCACACAAATATTAAAGGAGTAAATATTATCTGTGCATATAATCACTTTATTATGTACCTTTTAAAGAACCTGGCGTCTAAGTTTACCAAAAATAAAAATTAACACCGTTTGCGCGTTTGTACTTCATTTGTACCTGTTTGTACCGATCATTATTTTGTTTGTATCTCAAACAGTTAAACAAAAAAAATTAAGAATAAAAAATGGCCAGCGCGCAACTTTAAGATTTTTAAATTTTATTTATGCCATTCAAAAGAGAATCGTTTGTATCTGTTTGTGTTACTTTAAAGGGTTCATAGAAATACAGCGCCTTTCAATTTTTGCATAATCATCATATTAGAAAATTACTCTTTTTAAAAGATATCGAGATGCGACTAACGGCATTCGAAAGAGAATTGTTTGTATCCCTTTTGTACCACGTTTGTGTCCCTCTTACTTTCGCTTGTACCTCAAAGGATTCGGAGATACAGCGATTTCAAAATTTCGAAAATGCGCTAAGAGGAAAAATCGGCCATTTTTAAATATAATATATCGAAATGAGACCAACGGCACTCGAAAGAAAATCATTTGTACCTATTTGTACCTCTCTTACTTTCGTTTATACCTCAAAAGGTTTAGAGATATTTTTCAAGAGAAGAGAGCATTTTTCAAAATTTCGGAAATGTGCCAAGAAGGGATGTGGTCATTTCAAACGATATCGAAATGAGACGTCATTCGAAAGTAAGGTGGTACGATTCTCTTTCGAACAATATAACTTTCCATACAAACAACTTTCATCCCACCTCCCCTCCCTGCTTAAGGGCGCACGACTTTCACACGAAGCGACTTTCGAAATCGTGCATGAAGTCAAAATCTGTTCTGCAGAACTGATTACAAAACTATCCTCATTGTCGACAAAGCCTGCTGCTCGACAGACTGTGTCAGCAGATTGGTAGCAGAAACCGAGCAGAGTCTGTTTGAATCAAATTCTGCTCTTAACCTGTCAGTTGTGCAGGACTTTGTTCGGTTTCTGCCGCTAATCTGCTGGCATAGCATGTCTAGTAGGCTTTGTCATATTTCTGACAGCAATTTGCTGATAATGTTAGATAATACAAACTTTACAATTTGTTGTCTTTTTGCAATCGAAAATTAGTAGCAGGCTCTGTTGAAAACTTGTCTCTGCAGGCTGTGCATCAGGGATAGCTCTAATAATAAGCGACATATACAACGTATCCATTGACAACACTGACATCAGTGATACCATTGATATCGACAATTATGTTATTTTTATCCGTGAACTATCACATTACTCGATACTTGACATCGCTGGTTTACGAATTATAACAAAACTGTAATACGTCTTATTCTTATTCTCAAAGATGTCTTAAAAGGATATGTCTAAAAGATATCTTAAAAAAGGATATGATTAAAAATCGTCTTCAAAATGTCTATTAAATAAATTTTAAAGACGTTTTAAAAAGGATATCTAAAAGACATTCTAAAAAAAGACGTTTTTAAAACTTGCCTAAAAGTCATCTAAAAGACATCTTTTAGATAAGTCTTAAAGATATCTCTTTTAAGACGTCTTTCAGATCTTTTATATGCGTATTTACTGATAGTGATTATTAATTGTTATTATAGAAATTAATAATTATTATATAAAAATATACCTATTGTACAATATTTAAATAAAATTTGAAACAATGCTTTTAAATTATTCTTCTTTTTCTTATTTGAATCTTAAGGAAAACATAAATAACTTTGTATTAGCAGGACATTATAATGTTCATTACGATTACTGGATTTTTTTTAATTGTTTAAATTTTATAAGAAAATTCACATTCAAAAATAAAAAGATTTCAAAAAAGATTCCGAAAAAGTTAATAAGTTGTAAAATTAATTTTACAACTTAATTAATTTTATGACTTAATTAATTGAAGTTAAGTTAACAGTAAATTTATTTGAAATTAATTAAGTTGAAATAAGAGTTATTAACTTTTTAACTTTATCACTTAACTTTTAACTTATAGATTAGTTACCAAGTAAATTCTTTCATATATAAATGAATATAATTTTGAACGATATATGTTCCTACATAGTGGCGTGTAAAAGTAAAAATGTAAAGAATCCTTTCGTCTCGATGGATTTGTTACATTTTCTTTCTGAAGCGAAGAAATTTTGATTGACATTGTTTATAAGAGTTTTTTAAAGTAAAATAATGTTAATGAACATATTTAGTTACAAATAACGAAATGGGCGTTATTTAAAATATGATACAATACTACAGTTTATAAAATATAATACAATACTATTCAAAAGTCTCCTTTTAAAGTTATTGACTTATCGAACTGCCCATGTAATGATTGATATACATATAATTTCATATAAGCAATATTTCTTATTTCTTCAAACTTGATTTGTCAAAATAAAATAATACAAAAAT